ATTTGTCCCCCCCAATCATCATTTAAACTATTCCAACGTTCAGGAAACAATAAACTTTCGAAATAAAAATCTGCCCTTTTTTTATATTACTTTAATAAAAGGAAATGTGTTCTTTCTTTTTATAAGAAAAGGAACCAATTTTCCTTTCTAAACTTTTGAAAGTTGCCAAAGCTTAAAAAATTATAAACTACGCCAAGGTAACCCGCCTTTAAGAAAAAAGATTCACTATAACACTTAGACAGTTCGCGTAAGTAGAATCCGTTTTTTTTTCGATTGGGTTCGAATGGCAGAACTGACAACTCAATGCGCATGCGTAGTTAATGTTGGTGCGAATAGCTAGGGCGGCTAGTCGCACCGCTGGTGCGAATAGCATCGGCCGGTACGACAGTTGTACCATAGCCAGTTGTACGACAGTTGTACCAAACATATAAGTAAAAAAGACACTGGCATATGCAATACTATATAAATTTTATTTCAAGAGTAATTTATATGCACGCAGGAATTTGCATTTAGCTTTGGATGAATGCTCATTAATAGACAGAGCTCCCTCTCCTTCTGACTTGGTATTCGATTCAGAATAATGATTTTCAATTGAACGATTTAGTATTTCACATTTAATTACTAGGTCCTGATATTCATCCTTAAGATTTTTACCAATTGTTACACCTGCATAGTGCCATAATAATAGAGAAAAATAGTCGAAAGTATTGGGCGACAATGGCTTTGATTAGTTTTTGGGATATGTCTTCATACAACTTCCTATGCCCTTTAAACATACTTTCCATCGATGAAATGGCGTTATCCATTATAAAATTAAAGACAGTAACTTCGAAATGTTTGATAGAGCAATTGAAATTATAGTCGGCCGATTCTTTGTTTTACTTTTTGGCATATTCTAGTAGGTAGTTCTTCTTCTATAATTATATCACAACCCCGCCTTTCTAGTTTATTATTGCAGTTCGTTGCAAACAATTTTGATGCGTTAAATAAATATAAAATTGAAGTTTCTAGAAATGGCTTTTAGCCTCCCTAACCATATTATACACTAAGATGTAATCTAATACTTTAGTTTGCAAATATTTATTGAAATTGTATATTGAAATTTTTTTAAATGTACGTGAGCAGACAAAATTATTCTAAAAGTTGGTATTTTATACAGAATAGATTTTGCCATTTGTCGTATCTGTGCATTTTGTATACCAAGGATGTCAAACTCGCGGCCCACAACAAATATTTTTTTGCGGCCCGGCCAATATATCGGCAAATAATAATATATATAATAAAAATAACATATCGACGAAGAAAAAAATGAAATGTTTACTGCTAATAATTAACGATAATTATTCATGTTGTTAGATACTCACAGCGAGCTGACATACACACTACTTAAATACAATGCGTGGCTAGCTTGCGTTCAGCTACCTTCGGCTTTTGGGGACACGGCACTCAGAACTTGTACGCATCCCCCGATAGCCGAATGTGGCCAAACTATGGTCTCAGTTTTCCAATCATAGTTTTGTACGATATATTGGTGCATGCATGTGCATGCACTTTGCTTTATTATTAATTATTACTTAATTCATATTGTTACGGATTTCATAGTTATTATTTAGTTAGTTTTTTTACTTAGAATGTAATTAATTTGCTTCATGTTGCCTTAGCACGCAGACGATTTTTGAAAGACAGCTGCGTTTTGGAAGGTTAAAAATAGAACAACGCGTGCATTTAATACCTAATAAATAAATATCTCGAATTGCTGTTGCCATCCACAAAAATCCAGATATTTATAATGTTTCCATATAATTCGAGAAATTAATTAAGAGCTTATAAAACCGAGAACAACAACTCATCTCAGTAGTAGCTGTAGTTCTAGCGAAGTGTTTGTTTACTTAATGCTGTGATTGATTTGTAGGGATTTCGCTGTGAGATAGAATTAGTTCTCTGTTTTGAATTGATTTTTGCTAAACGTTTGACATTTGTGATATTGTTAGAATATTTTGAAGAAATATTTCAGCATTTTTGATTTATCTCTTGTGGAAAGAATAAATTTTTGTTACTTTTAACGTTAACCGTGTTTATTCCCCTTTGTATTCAGTATGTCTATATCAAAACCAAGTGGGTAGTAAAATTAAACGAAAATCGCTGACGAACATAGAATATTCAAGTAAAATGGGAATTAGAATATTTTTGCTGTGAAATAAAAGATAAATAATCTGCTTGATATGTAATAATACTATTAATGTACCAAAGTTATATAATATTAAACGTATTACGACACACAAATCGAAATATAACATTACAAGGATTTAATGAGAGAAGAAAGTTGAAAGAGCTCAAGTTAGGCGAAAAGCAAAGTGAAGTGGCGGTACATGCAGCTACGTCTTGTCCGAGTGATAGCTAAACATTCGAAGTCTTTTACTGACGGTGATTTCATCAAGAATGCCTAATGAAAGCTGGAGCATTGTTGTCCTGGAAATGTGAAGGCTTTCCATCAATTCATTGTCTCGAAATACACTTGCGAAAGAGTTACTGATTTAGCCGCGAATTTAAGTGATCAGATCAAAGCAAAATCATCTATTTCGAAAGTTTCTCCATTGCCTGTGACGAGAGCACGGACATTAGTGGCAAAGCTCAATTAGCAGTGTTTTTCTTCTTGTGGACAAGAATTTTAACATTTTGAGGAATTACGGAACTAATACCGATGCCTGGTACTTTTCCCTAAGGTCATAAGATCGACTTCGTCGATCAGGGGACCGGGGGCTGCGCCCGTTTAATTACCGATGCCTGGTACTACCACACGAGAAGATATATTTACTTGTGTTTTTGGACTTCTGCAGAAATACAATCTACCTTTGGCAAAATTAAATTCTGTAGCTACAGATGGCGCTCCATCAATGACCGGGAAAAACAAGGGCTTCGTAGCATTAATAAGGAAAAAACTTAGTGAAATTCACGGTTCAAACATTCATCATATGCATGTTTATACATCAAGAAGTTTCTATACACGAAAGTAATAAATATGGAGAATGTTTTTGTCATATATAAAAAAAGTTATAAATTTTATAAGATCTCGAGGTTTAAATCAGCGTCAATTCACTGGTTTCTTAAGTGAGTTAGATAGTGAATATTCGGGTTTGTCCTACTATACCGAGGTACGTTGGTTATCTTGCTCCAAGATTCTCAACAATTCTGGGATTTGAAAAGAATATGTCAGTTTTTAAAAACGAAAAATCAAGACGTAAGTTTGTTTACGATCCAATATGGATACAAGATTTATCTTTCTGGTTGATATAACCCACACTTAACCGATTTAATTATCGTTACAAGGAAAAGATCGAACATGTTGACATAATTAAGCATTCAAATGTAACTGTTCTTTGGGAAAAACAACTTAAAAATGAAGATTTGACGCACTTCCCGACGTGCAGATTAACAAATCAAGTTTAGATGATACTTTTTCGTATAAAAAATACGCAGAAAAAATTGCAATTTAACAACTGAATTTGAACGAGGTTTAATGATTTTAGTTCCCTCGAAGACAATTTTTTTTTTTTTTTTTTGTTCCTTCGATTTTTCTCAATAAGTATGACTCAGTACCCAAGCCATAGCAAATGGAGGTGACGAGATTCAATGCAACTCAATTTGAAAGCAAAATTCATTGAAGTGGGCGTGCCTGAATTTTACAAATATTTACTAGCCAGGTTTGAAAATACTCGAAAATTCGCATATGAAATTATTCCATGTTTGGTAGCACTTTCGGTGCGAGCAGTTATTTTCAGTCATGAAAGGTTATAAGTCTCCTATTAGAAACCGTATAATGATGCTCACCTTGGGTCAGCGTTGAAAGTTATCACTGCAAACAAAATTTCTCCCGAAATAGGAAAGATAATAGCAGAGAAGAGATGTCAAGTATCAGGACGTAAACATTAAATTTTTCCTGTTCTTTTCTATATAAATGCTATATATATACGTTTATTATTGTATTATTCGAAATAAATCTACGTTTCTATGAATATTGATTTTTTTTTTTTTTTTTTTGCGGCCCGCCTAAAGTTAAACCTTGTTTGTTTGGCCCAAGTGTACCTATGAGTTTGACATCCCTGTTGTATACCATTGGAAGATATACTTTTGAGTGAAAGTATTAATTCTCGCACGTACCCTCACTCACAGGGGTGTCTTGCCGAGTCATCTGTATCGATTCGATTGTTCGAGTTTCTTGATCAGCCCGAAATCGCACCAGCCTACCGAGCATCTGCCCGGTTGCCCGCCGGCCCTAACCGCCACTGAAAGGGGGAATGAGTTCAGCCGTATAAAGTGTTAACAATTTAGCTTTAGCTTATGACTGTAAAAAACTATTCAAATTTTGGTATTTATTAGCATTTTCTGTACATTTTGTTGTTTAATTTACAAAACACATTAAAAATGATCTAAATGTAAATAAAAGATACATGTTATTTTTCGAGTGATAAAAGAAAGAGGGAATGAGCTTCTAATAATGATAAATAGGGCTCACGGGGTAAAATTGAAAACACTTCGTTATAAATGAAATATTGCGTGTGATGTTTCTAGGAAATGAAGTTTTGAGTACTTGCTAGTATTAAATGTTTTGACAATAACATGCAGATATTTGATGTAGAAGATTTGAGAATAACATGCTCATAAAATTTTATTTTCTGTCAAAAGCTTTTTAGAGTCTAACTCAAAATATAGAGAGATCGAAAAATATATTGAAATCCATAGCATAATTTTAATTTCGAAATATTTTGAATGGGCTAGACAATCACAAAGCTTTTGCTTTAAATCTTATGTGCATTGGAAATAATGGTGAGTAACAGTAATTATTGCCGGAAACTAGATAAAAATGCATCATCAAATATAATAAGTAATCTAGAATAAATTTTGTATACCTAAGATAACGTGATTTTTCCTGCTGTTCTTTTCTTTTCTAAAGTACCTCATTGCTAACTCAGAAAATATTGTCCCAGTACGTTGGTTTGATTCACCAGTGAGCGCACTTGTCGGAATGTGTAGGTGTACAGGAGAGTACTCAAAATGGTGGATTACGGAGTGTTCAGATTGAATAGTTAAGAAATAATTTGAGTTGTGTGGCTGCTCGCTCTTGATTAACTAATATAAAAAAATTTCCGCACATGTGTTTTAATAGTTACACCAAGTCATGTCGAGTATCTGAAAGAAACCTTGCCTGACTTTTCGAGTTGTCTACTGCCTAATTTTGATTCTCAAGTAGTTTTTAAATGTACGCTATCCACTAGTCGATGATGTGCAGAGTATGCTCTTCTACTATATAGCGATATAAAAAATTGCCTCTTGATGTTTTAATAAGGTTTGTTTTTGTCTTATCAAAATTTGCTTATATACATTCTTTTTTCAAGCAATCAATATATATTTGAAACAGCTGTAATGCAGATCTTTCTCAAGAAAGTTAGTCTGCTTCATATTAGTGAATTTTTGTTGCGCAGAAGACTTAATTTTGTTTTCTGACATCGAAATGTTTAGTTATATAGTTGAGTATAGTTAAAAATCAACTGTCATGTTATCGTAAAATAAGATTTAAGATGGGTACCCTTGACACTGTCGTGGTAAATCGGATCGTTTTTTGATACACAGTTTCATTAAATGTCATATTTTAAGAAGGTATTATTATTTCGTCATATGTATATTATAAATACAGTATTTAAGCTGAAACTTTTATTCTCTTTATGTTAAAGAACAACGAAAAAAGAAAAAGTGAGATATTCAGATTTTTTTTTTTTTCCATAGCGATTGGTAGCCAAGTGCGGGTTTTCATTTATTATTCCCAGTAAGAAAGCTTTAACAGTAAATCTAGAATGTGCTCTTTTGCTACGAAAACATATTTCTTTTCTACTTATTACTAAGAAATATTTTTAAATAAAAGAAATCACGAATGCAGAGTTAAGCTTTAGTTTTCCATTCGGCAATATTTAATCTTACTCTATTATGTATAGTGAAGTATAGGAAATGAGCTAAATTTGCATAATATTTTGTTCTAGTTTCTACCACATAATCATAAAATGACAACTTAAGAATATTTTGCTATACATAAAGGGGATATTCTCTTCCCATAACCCCCTCCTAATTTTAAACTGCTCATGTATAGAAATTTTGTGCATGTGTATAATCATTTTTTGTATTCATGTGTAACAATGTCCTAAATATTGTTGAGTAAGTATAATTTGTGTTGAACCTCTTCAGCCTTCTTCATTCAGGGTGCTTCCTTTCTAGCCTTTTGAACATTTCACCATAATAAATTACTTATCTTCCTAAAGCAATTCAGCTATTGCTATGCATTTTCTAAGTTGTTACATGTAGTAGTACTTATGTTTCAAACAGAAACAGTAATTGTATGGTATGTCTAAAATAAATTTGAATATAAACAAATGCAAGAAAAGTATACAGGCAGACGTTTAATTTTCATAATTTCCCATTATTGCAGTACGTTATCTTGTTTTTCTTTAGCTGAACTGTGTCAGTTTTTGCTTACAGAGCTGTTAGCACGTTTGAAAAATGCATCACTAAGAGTTAATCAGTAATTTTTTATGTGTTGTGAATTAGCTATACTTTTATTGGTATACCTAATACTATTTATTAAGATACTATTTATTCATAGATTTACAGTTTCCAAAATGAGTTTTAGTACTTATGGCTTTTGAATCTCTAACTTTCTTTCAGTGATTGAAATTTATTAAAATTTAAAGGCTTAATTCATTTGTTTTAATGTAGATGCAAACTTGGCATAGCAATGAATGAAAATTGATTATGTTGCTACATAGAATAAAAGCTCTCAGTTTGTTTTCTCTTGTTAAGGTATTTGCAATTAAAACCAACACGATACACGAGTTCTTCATATTTTTTAGGAGGTCAGCATATAGTACTAAAAATGAATGATACTGATTTTTCCAACATAAATGTAATTAATAAAATAATTGCCTCTAGTCTAGAAAATTAACTCCTGTTGAAAAATTTATAATATAGTTATAATAATATCTTTTTCTAACAAATTTGTATTAGAAATTTTTTACAACTTAAATCTAAATATGTTTTCTCTTTATATGTATGTGAAAGTTTAATATTTGTTCTAAAACCGAGAAATAAACATCGCTGTCCTGAACCTTTGTTTGCAGCCCAAAGTACTCACAATGCATAGTATTACAGTCAAACTGTTCAAGATCACTATATGTGTCACTTTTGACTTCCTCAGATCTGTTAAGAGAAAAATATTACAGAATTTCTTATTAAGTAATATCTCTTTAGGCTGATCAGTTTTTTTTTTTTTTTTTTTTTTACTATTATATGTCCTAATAGGCTTGTTGATAAATAGTTTTGGAATGTACACAGTCTTAATTTTTCCATGAAAGATAGATATTTTTAATATATATAAACTTTAGTTCTTCATAATCTACCTAGAACTGGGATGTGATGAAGAAACTGACCGTAACTGTTTGGGAGGGGGAGAAGACGTTCCTGTTGTATTGGTCTGCACACTCCCATTATTTGTACTGGCTGTTTTGACTGGTGACCACATCTGCATTTTCTCTGATATTAATGACGATGCAGATGGTAATTTTGGAGAGGGTGTTATTTGCTTCAAGACTTTTATGAGACTGACCAGCAGTAACTAATAACTGAAAAGCTGAAATCATCCTAATCATAGTCATTTAGAGTTCACATGTCATGAAAAATAATTCTGATTAAGCAGTCGTTTATATTTTATCGTATTTTCAGTCTATCCCCCCAAAAAATTATAACAGTTTTTTGTATTAAGGAGTGAGAAAGATGCTTTTCTCTCGAGAAACAGAAATTTAACCTTAGGTTTAAAAATGTGGAAAGGGCCATGAAATGGCTGTATTTACAAAAACATTTGGTGGTGCATTGCAGAAAGTTGCAAGCAAAGAAAAGCACATGTTCAGACAATTGGTTCAGTGATTCTGGTATATCATTTGCAAGAGCACAGAATTTATTTACTGTTGGTTAGAGACGGAGCTGTATTTTCTGAATATTTTTTTAAAGGGATAAATGTGTACCCCTGTAAACAATTAACTATATCTATTTTCTTTATGTTAATCTAAGGTAGGGATGCACAACTTTTTTAGCAGAAGGGTCACTAAAAGAAACTATTTTGTTGCCGAGGGCCAATAGAGTATGAAAAAAATTTGAGTGGGAGGATTCAATGCCTTAATTTGTAATTCAGACATGGGTTAATCTTTGGATTATGGTAACTTGGCGATTTTTTGGTGAAAATTTGGCGACCAACCCTGCTACAGCATCCTGCTAGTTTTTGTTTGGATGCCATTTTGTTTTCACAAAGTAAAAACATTTTTTTTTTTTTTTTTTTAATTTAACACTTTTTTCCAACAATCTACTAGCCGAATTACGCTTATGCTAAAACTTTTATGGAACAAAAGTGCTTAATCATGACGAAGATTAGATGCGAAATTGGGAGAAAGTGCAAAATCACAAACTGCTTGCCGCGTTTTTAAGAATTGCACATACGTGGTATCCATGTACACGTCGACCTATTTTCACTTAAAAAAACATCCCAGAATTGCACAGAAATGGCATTGTGCACACTCTTGACTTTATCCATGTACACTGCTAAAGTCCTAGCTAGTAACCTTTATCGCCTTAAAAAATGTCGCCAAACTACCTGTTACCATATTCCAAAGATTAGCCTAGACATGTACCATATGAAATTGAAATTGATTTGAAGACCATTATATATGTAAGCAAAGAGGGATTGGGTTTTCCTTTTTCCTTGCATATGCTACAGGGGCTAAAACACCCAGTTCAGCTTGGAAAAATGTGATGATGAATTGTTGTCTAGGTCATTCAGATGGACTGTCACATCAGCTAAATATGCTAAGTCACGCTTCAAAGATGGTTCCTTTAACATCTTAGTTTGCTTGCTATTTTCTTCAAGGAACGGTATTATTTTATCTATCAAATTAGCAAACCTTTTCAAAGCCTCTTCACGTCTCGACCATCGTACTATGTGGTGCATCTGTGTGTTCTAGGATTTCCTTAAATTGCCTGTGGTTTAAACCATGTGAGTGAATAAAATTGATTGTATTGCTCACTACTTTCATTAGGCGGTTAAATCATAGTTCTTTCGCTCATAGCTGTTCTTAGTGTGTGATACAATGATACCCAAGTAAATTTTTTCCTCTCTCATCCAAATGTTTTCTCAGTAGACTTACCATGCCATTCTGAATGCCAGTCATAGCTGCGACTCCATCAGTAGTGATAGTTAGTATCACTACTGATGGTTGGGTAAAAGTATATTTACAGATACCCCTTGGCGATTTTTGGCGGCACATGGATACCGAGATTGTGCAATTCTTTGTCTTGTTATTTTGTCTTTGTGTAGCTGCAATTACCTACTTTGTGCAATTCTTTGACTTGTAGCCAAAATAACAAGACAGAGAATTGCACAAACTCTGTATCCACGTACACATTGATATATTTTCACTTAAAAAACACCAGAGAATTGCACAAACCGGGCATTGCACACTCCCTTTGACTTTGTCCATGTACACATCTAACTATATACACTTAAAAAGTCAAAGAAGCAGCCAACAAAAAATGTATAATCTCAATAAGCTACATTTTAAATCAAAGAATGAAATAACATAAAAAAGGAATTTCATCTTTGCATTACACAAAGGAAATATCCATTTACCTTATTTACGAATTAACACGTATTCAGTCAAACAAAATTCGGTTGATCTTTGGATTATGGTAACTTGGCGGTTTTTTGGCGAAAATTTGGCGACCAACTCTGCTACAGCAACCCTCTATTTTTTTTTTCGCCGCCATTTTGTCTTCACGAAGTAAAGACATGTTTCTTTTCTTTTTATTTACTGAACACTTTTTCCAACAATCTACTAGCCGAATTACACTTACGCTAGAAATTTTATGTAACAAAACTGCTTAATCATGACAAATATTAACTGCAAAATTGGGAAAAAGGGCACAATCGTAAACTCCTTGCGCGTTTTTCAGAATAGCACATACACATAAACCATTTACACGTCGACTTATTTTTACTTAAAAGAACATTCCAGAATTGCACAAAAATGGCATTGCACACACTTTTAACTTTATCCATCTACACTGCTATTTTCTCATAAATTTACAAAAATTTGCACGAAAATGCAAAAAAATTCTGTGAATCTTTAAACTTGGTAAAAAGCACATATATGAAATTACCTGATCGTGAAAAAGTATATACCCTTTCCAAGGATGAACATTTCCACGTATAAAATAAATAAAATATCCAAAAACTTTTTACCTCTAAATTATCTA